ATCAGATTGGATGACCGATTTCAGCCAACTCGGTCAGGTGTATTGTACGGTGCATTCGGATCCGGAAAATCGTACTTCCCGTCAAACGAATTCAGAAAAACACGAAAATCATTTAACTTGACGACCAGGGTCATCACAAGGTGCGATTTGATGTAGATCCTCGCATTGTACTTGAAAAGAACAAGTTGTTCACTCAATGTCAACCATGTCCTGCAGCATTTCTAGTTCTGCAGTATGGTGCATTTCGGATCAAAACATCAGAAAAACGGAAAAACACGAAAATGAAGTACATGATGGAACTCGACTATTGGTATGAATCAGTTCATTGGCAGGTCACTTTCGGCATTTGGGAGGAATGCAAAATTGTTGCTCGTCGAATTGATTTGCTCAGTGCCCGTCGATTCTCAATTTACTTTCTGGTTTGAAAACATTGTTCGGAATAATCAAATGAACCGATTTTGTACGCTGCCGGAAGACTCCACGCACAAGTAACTGTGAGTTAAATACTTATCAGATTGTATTTCAATAAATCAGTCCCATTTTTTGCCACGGAGAAGGGTTGTTACATGTGAGTAGTCGGTTCCTTTTTTCAAAAGTCGCCGAAGAACGGGGTGCCGCATGGTAACGTGAGCCGCGGGGCTACAGACATTGTCGAGCCCTCAAGGTCGCTCACATCCTGTGGATACAACATTACAGGAGAGAAACCTGCCACATACATCATACATAAACTAGAAAAGCTACATCACATGGTTCACTTTGAGTGAACAAATTGTTCTTTTCAATTGCAATGCGAGGATCGACATCAAATTGCACCGCGTGATCAACCTGGTCGTGCAGCACCATCTGCTTCACTTCTCTGATCCCTCTCCTCTTCGGAAACGAAAACGCGATTTTCGAGATCGGCGTGATACACTTGATTCAGATGATTCGTACATTTCCTTGGTTGAGATATGGACCTAAATGTGACATCAGGTGCACTGCTTGAGGCAGCACACAAAAATGCATCAGACGTTACTCTTGAGTAGCCCGCATTATGTTTGCGAAGGAAGAAGGACATTGCTGATTGACAGGGCACTGTGCGAGTTAACTCGAGAAATACGCGTTCCTCCTAAATGCCATCATCTTCTTCAATTCCGTTTTGTTTCCGTACCCGTTGAACGGAAAATATGATTTTCCTGATCCAAATGCATCGTACAAGTTACTTGCCCGAACCGGCTGAAATGCTTCATCCCTACTGATGATTCTTCAGAAATGCACCATAGGACAGAACTAGACGATCTAAATCACATGGTTGACCTTGAGCGAAAGAATTGTTCGTTTCAATCGCAATGTCGCACAATTTGTTCACTGTGATGTAGCACTTCGCGATCTGTTCTCTGGTGGATTTCTGATCAAAATATAAGTAGGGAGGAAGCACATTTGTAGCTGGTCGACTTGATTCGCACAGAACGCATTGATATGAACCCTACTTTATCTTGGTAAACATAGTTCGGATTCCTGAAATTAGCCGTGTGATGTGCGGCGTCAAGCATTGAACCTAATGCGTGATCAGATAGGATTCAACTCAATAGATCAGCAAAAAGATGTTAGAATCAGGTGTTTGAATGTTGCACGTCAAGTTTCGAAGTTGCAATTTCTTTCACTCAACAAGGAAGGTTCAGAGAAATTAAGCAGATGGTGCTGCACGAACAGCTTCCTCACGCGGCACAATTTGATCTCGATGCTCGCATTACAATTGAAAAGAACAATTCGTTCACTCAAAGTGCATTTCCTATCAAAGCATCTGTAGAGATGACGCATTCAAGGAGGCACGGCTAATTGTACTGTCCGGTGTATTTGGATGCAGAAAATCATATTTTGCGTCCAACGGCTACGGAAAAAACACATAAGTGTAGTAGATGAAGTAAATCGACGATTGTTACGAATCAATTCATTGGCAGGTCACGTTCGGCATTTCGGAGGAACACAAAATTTTATCTTGTCCAATTGATTAACTCAGTGCCCATTGATTTTCAATTTCCTTTTTGGTTCGAAAACATTTTTCGGAATACTCAATGAATCCTTCGGATGGAATTTTTGCGGGAACTGCAGATTTGCATCGCATGTGTCATCAGTTCGCATTGATGTGAAATGATAAATAATTGAATAATCAAAATGAAGTGTAGAACGATTTGTTCAACCAAAGTCAACCATGTGATGTAGCTTGTCGAGTTCTGTCCTTTGGTGCATTTCTGATGAAAACATCAGTAGGGATGGCGGATTTCAACCGCCTCAGTCAGGTGTATTGTACGAAGTATTTGGATCCGGAAAATAGTATATGCCGTCCACCGAATACGGAAACAGAGTTAAATGATAACCTCGAGGACCAGGTTCATCACACGGTGCAATTGGATGTCGATCGTCTCATTGCAATTGCAAAGAACAACTTGTTCACTCAAAGTCAACCATGTGATGTAGCTTGTCGAGTTCTGCAATATGGTGCATTTCGGATCAAAACAAGAAAAACACGGAAAGACACGAAAATGAACTACACGATGGACCTCGACGATTGTTATGAATCAGTTCATTGACAGGTCATGTTCGGCATTTGGGAGGAAGGCAATATTGTTGCTCGTCCAATTGATTCACTCAGTGGTCGTCGATTTTTCATTTCCTTTTTGGTTCCAAAGCAGAGTTCGGAATATTCAAATGAACCTTCTGGTTGCGTTTCTGCGGGACCTGCAGAGGTGCATCGCATGTGTCGTTAGTTCACATTCAGGTGAAATGAAAAATAATTGAATAAGCCGGATGAAGTGTAGAAGGATTTGTTCACTCAAAATCAACCATGGGACTTAGCGCGTCGCGTTCAGTTTTTTGAAGCATTTCTGACGAAAACATCAGTAAAAATGAAGGATTTCAACCAGGTCGGTGAGGTGTATTGTGCCATGCATTTGGATCCGCAAAATCGCACAGCTCGTCCATCGAATACGGAAAAACCAGAAAATGATAGATTTCGACGACCAGGTTCATCTCACGGTGCAATTTCTTATTGATTCTCACATTGCAATTAAAAAGAACAATTTGTTCACTCGAAGTGCTTTTCCCATCAAAACATCAGTAGACAAGACCCATTACACGCGGCACGGCGAAGTGTATTGCCCGATGCATTCGGATGCAGAAAACATATTTTCCGTCCAACGGATACGGAAAAACACAATAGTGAATTACATGATGGAACTCGACGATTGTTACAAATCAGTTCATTGGCAGGTCACGTTCGCCATTTGGGAGGAACGTAAAATTGTTGCTCGTCCATTTCCGTAGTGGGGAGGGATCAGAGGAGCGAAGCAGATGGTGCTCCACGACCAGGTTGGTCACGCGGTGCACTTGGGGTCGATCTTCGGATTGCAATTGAAAGGAACTATTTGTTCACTCAAAGTCAACCATGTGAAGTAGCTTGTCGAGTTCTGCAATATGGTGCATTTATGATCAAAACATGAGTAGGGATGGAGGATTTCAACCAGCCAGGTCGGGTGTATCGCACGATGCATTTGGATCCGGAAAATCGTACTTGCCATCAAACGAAAACGGAAGAACACGAAAATGAAGTACTTGATAGAACTCGGTGATTGTTATGAATCAGTTCATTGGCAGAACACGATCGGATTTTGGGAGGAACGCAAAATGTTGCTCGTCCAATTGATTCACTCAGTGCCCATCGATTTTCAATTTCCTTTTTGATTCGAAATTATTGTTTGAAATACTCAAATGATCCGTTTGATTGATTTTGTGCGCTGCCCGAAGATATGCATCCGATGTTTCATCCGTTCACATTCAGGTCAAAAGATCAACAAATAACAATATTTGAATGATTCGGATGAAGTCTATCACGCGAATCTCGGAAATCGCGTTTTCGGGTCAGCAGACAAGAAGAATCAGACAAGTGGAGCAGATTGTGTGGCACGACCAGGTTCACCACGTGGTGCAATTTGATGTCGATACACGCATTGCAATTTTAAAGAGCAATTTGTTCACTCAAAGTCAAACATGTCATGTAGCTCGTCGCGTTCTGGTTTTTGGTGATCAAAACATCAGTAGGGAAGGAGGATTTCAACCAACTCGGTCACGTGTACTGAACGATGCATTTGGATCCGGAAGATCGTACTTCCCATCAATCGAATACGGAAAAACTCGAAATTGGAGAAGATGATGGAATTCAACGATTGTAATGAATCAGTTCATTTGCAGTTCACGTTCGGCATTTGGGAGGAACGCAAAATTGTTGCTCGTCCGATTGATTCACTCAGGGCCCATAGATTCTCAATTACAATTGTTCGGAATACTCAAATGAACCTTCTATTTGAGTTT